GTGTAATGCCTGTGAATGCATGCGACATGCTCACCCTGGCTGTTGAGCATGATGTTCTCAGGCTTGAGATCTCGGTAGATGATGCCTTGGGAATGCAGATGGCCCAGGGCTAGAGTGATCTCTGCCAGGTAGAAGCTGCAAAGACAGGACAAGGTAAAGGCAGGGCAAAGGCTGGAGTGAAGGCGAGGACAAGCACCCCCAGACACCCACCAGGCTGTGTCTTCCAGGAAGATGCCTTCTCGCTCAAGATGTGTGAAGAGCTCACCACCTGTGACATAAGCACATTAGCAGCTGTGCACTTGGGCCCAGCCCCATTACTGTCTGAGCATCAGTTTCTTCTAGAGAAAAATGGGACTTATAGATCCCTCCCTACCTGCCTCCCAGAGCTGCCGTGGGGACTCAATTCAATCAGCAAACATCTACCGGCGCCTACTCACTCGGTGCCTGGCCCTGTGCTGCGTGAAGCTGGGGCAGAGTTGAGAAGACCCAGCCATTGCCCTCAGGATGCTCAGTCTAATGGGAAGACAGACATGTGGACACTGCTCTAAATGCCAGGTGCAGGGCATAGCTCTGGGAACTTCACAGAGCCTCAAGATAGAGGGCAGAAGAAGCTAATCTCAATACAATGATGGAAGGTGTGGCTTTCTCTGTCTTGATAGGGTGGGAAAAGGATGCCAAGCATGCAGGAAGAAGCTGTAGGGCTTGGCTGGTACTGGGCAGACAGGCAGAAGGAATGGGTCCCAATCACTCTTGGTGATCAAGGCTTTGCTTAGGTGTTTAGAGATGCGTGCTCTAGGAAGATGACCTTTGCAGTTAGTGGAGGTGATACAAGAACCCAGAGAAGCTAGAATCTCAGCTAGTCTAGAAATGGACCTGCTGGGTGTAGTGGCACATGCTTTTAATCCCAGAGAGGGGCAGGGAATGTTTTTTGAGTTCTATGTAGTGAGTTCCATGCCAGCCAATGCTATATAGTGAGGTCCTGTCTCAGAAAGACAAAACAAGGTGTATATCACACGCCTTTAATAGCAGCATACTCAGTCTGCAAAGACAGGCAGATCTCCTGAGTTCAAGGCCAGCACGGTCTATATAGTAAGTTCCAGGCAGGCTAGAGCTACAGAAGCAGACCCTGTCTCAAAAAAAAAAAAACAAAACCCCACAAAACAACAACCAAAAAACCTTATAGAAACAGTAAACACCCATGAGACTTCCAAGAAGAAGGGTGCAGCTAGATAAGACCTGACTGGGTGCCTGGTACACAGGGGACAGGGAGGAAAGGTAGCAAAAGTGGACAAAATTCTCCCTGGACATCACATCTACACAAACTCCCACCAGCCCCACCCACCCCACAAACACTAGGCACTGGATGGATGTTTGCTGAATGAATGAACAAATGGAGAGACAGACAGATGAACACATGGCCAGGCATGGTGCGTGAGCCTCCTAGCCATCCTCCAGTCATACCTCTCAGGATTCCCTAAGTCCCCACCCAGTGCTCCTGGGCTGGCTTCCTGCCACACACTACTCGGCCTAGCCCACACACCTACCACTGAGGCACTCCAGGATGAGGTAGAGTTTGCCACCTGTCTGGAAAGCATAGGCCAGTTCTACAATGAAGGGATGCTTCACAGATTCTAGAATGTTCCGCTCAGCCCGGGTATGTGCTGTGTCCTTGGCACTGCATACAATCTTGGCCTAGAGATGGCAGGAGTTTGTTAGAAGGTGAGGCACCCAGAGTGCTTTCCTTTTTGCTCTGCTGATTTACTGTCGCAGAATGTTCAACCTCAATATTCAACTATACAAAGGAGGAGCTAAGGGGAAGTCATGACTCTTGTTTCAAGTAAACATTGAAACACAATTTGGGTATATAAGTGTCTAGACTCTAGGTCTGTGTAGACCATCGCTGTCATCCCACTAGTAACCAACCCACAGAGTCAGGGTACCAAGGGCCAAACTATCACAATAGCCCCTTTTCTAGAAGCTTCTCCAGTCTGCCCTCCACAAGATCTGATCATGACAAAGACAATGGGAGGACTCGGCACTAGACTCGTAGGTTAAAAGCGCATGCTATGAAAGCATAAAGATACGAGTTCAAATCTCCAGTACCAATATAAAAAGCCAAGGATGGTTGTGTGAGCCTGTACCCAGGACAGAAGAATCACTGGGGCTTGCTAGCCACCAGCCTAGTTTCAGGCTCAGTGAGACTTTGTCTCATGAGAGTAAGCGATAGTAAAAGCAGTAAACTTTTCTGGAACTGGTTTATCCTCTCAGTTTCTCACCCTTGATACTTTTCCGTTTGTTTTGTTGAGACAAGGTATCATTATGTAGCCCAGGGTGGGCTACCACTCAGATCCTCCTGCTTTACCCCACCAAGTCCTGAGACAATAGGTGTATCCTACCAAGTTCAGCTAAACTTGAAGCTACTGACACACTGAACCGGACAGTTCTTTGTTCTGGGTTCCTGCTGAGCTGCGTCCTGGGCTTCTGTTCACTGAATGCCAACAGTTCTGCCTGCCCTCAGAGTCTGACAATCAAAACTTGCCATATGTGCCTTAGCAGGCAAGTTGTTTCCATTTAAGAATTACTCCAAAATAGCATATATGACAATAGATACTAAGTCAGCAAGTGCCAAGTTAAGGGCTATCTCCATCCTGTTTCTGGCTGTCTTTCCAAGACCTGGTACAGGTTGCTGGGGATGGCAGCTACTCTGTCTTTGCTGGCTGAGCAAATGACTCACCTTCCTCAAGACTTTCATGGCATATATTTTGCCCAAGTTGGTGCCTTGCACTTTTCTCACCTGGAACACCTGTAGGGCAGGGGAGACAGGATTAACTTCCCTGACCACATCCTATCTTCAAGGTGCCCCACCCTAAAGCTCTAGTATTGGGACCAAAAGGTCTAAGCTCAGCTTAAGAGTGGAACTGTAAAGATCTCCATCAGATTTTGAAAGGATCTGCCCTTTCCTCCCTCTGATTTTCAGCTCTGAATCCCATCAGAGACTCAGGAGATTTACAGGCCTCTTGGGTGTGAAGGATGGTATGCTGTTTCAGGCTAGAGCTGAGGTCACCAGGAGGGGAAGGGATGCTAGTACCTTGCCATAGCCCCCCTTGCCCAGTACACTCAGTAGCTCAAAGCAGTGGGGCCCGATGCGCTCAGGACCCAGATTCACGCTGCTCTCTGTCAGCTCCACTTCCTCATAGTGTCCCACTGTCCTAAAGACATAATAAGTTAATGAGGGAAAGGCTCTAGTGTACCCCAAGTCCCATCCCCTACTCCATGCCCTCATCCCCCAAGCAAGACCCTCACTCACTCCAGGCCAGCAGCCCTTAACTCGCCAAGGGGACACACGTCCTGTGAGAAACCAAGTGATAAGAACCACGGAAGGTGCCAGAATATCTCCTCCCAACCTAGGCTGAACTGCTTGGCCCAGGGGAGAGAACCAAGGATAGGAATTCAGCAGCAGGGATGGGGAAAGTTTGGGAAGGAGAGACCAAGGATAGAAAAGGGAAGATCCGGTCCAGGGGCTAGAGTTGGGGCTAGGGTTGGGGTTGGGGCTGGGGCTGGATCTGGGTTTGTAGGGGTCACAAACCACTCAGAGTGGGGAGCGCAAGGACTTTGGTTATCCAGCTGGGCTCCTGGGTCCAGTCGCACCCGGAAGAAAACACTCACCGCAGGGCTGAACTCCGGTTCGCCTTCGCCCTCGCTTCCTTCCTCAGTCTCCAAGTCTAAATCAAACACGGCTGCCATGGCCCCGTCGGTCCCGCGGGACCCTCGGCCCCGACCAGGCGGAGCTCTGACTGACAGCGCCAAACTTGGGTTACATCATCTCTCCGCGACAGCAGTAGCCGCGCGCTCTGATGACGCAAGCTAGCCTAACCCACTCTCAAGTCGGGTGGGAAGAAAAGATGGCGCCTGTCGGAAAGCCTCTCGGGAGTCGTAGTTCCAGAGATCTTGACCGCCCATCCTGCAGCATTATGAATAGGCTTTACTAGACCATCGTCCTCGTCGGTTTCTCCTGGGTCAGCTCTCGACCCGAGCAGCATGCACAGAGGCTCCCATTTTGACTCTGGGGCAAGTTCAAGATTTAATGGGCAGAAATTACAGGTGCGTGAAGGTTTAAGTTTAAATGGCAACTCCTCAGCCCTTCTTAGAGCTAGCTGTGAGTTGCCTAGAAAGAAAAACTGTGTCTGTTCTAATGTATTAGGGAACAGTAGGCTATATTAGGGACACTCCTTACAACCTCCCTGAAGCTCACAGACCCTGCAGGTCTGACATTTTCTGGGCGACTGCCTGGGCTTTGTTACAAGGCTCCCGTTCTGAAGGGCTCAACACACCTAAATATGGACTTTTGCTAATTTAAGCATACCGAGTATTCCTGCTGCCTAGTTCAGAATAAATACTTTAATAGAATATGGTTGAAAGGATGGATGAGAACTGGCGAGATAGTGCAGGGAGTAAAATCACTTGTCACATAAACCTGACTGCTGGAGTTCTATCCCAAACTAAGCCTGTGCATTTTAATTGGAGTCTGTCTGAATGGCCTTTCCATTGCATAGGGGATGGATGCCCACTGGATGCACAGTGTGAACTCAGATGAGCAAAATTTAGGGGTATCCAGGTCAGCAGAGGGATCACTACCTGAATGTGACCTAGGATTGTAATTCAAGAAAAAAAAAAAAATCCTCGCCGGGCAGTGGTGGTGCACTCCTTTAATCCCAACACTTGGGAGGCAGAGGCAGGTGAATTTCTGAGTTTGAGGCCAGCCTGGTCTACAGAGTGAGTTCTAGGACAGCCAGGGCTATACAGAGAAACCCTGTCTCGAAAACCCAAAAAAAAAAAAAAAATCCTCAAACATACATGTAGGTATAAGGTAAGCCCCTGGCAAAGGTCAACCCTAGGGGCCAGCCAATAGGGTGCTTTTCCACCTCTCCTCCCACTCCCCAGCTCCCCATCTACTGAACCCGAGTGGGGCCACTATCTAAAACAAACTGGATTCCAGATACTTCGCTAGTTCACAAGACTTTATTTGGGTAGGCATGTTTTCGGGAGCTGTCCATGGCTCCTGTGCTGGACAGAGGCAGGTGTTTTCAGAGTAGCTAGCTTCCTACAATGAGGAAAGGTGTGTACACAGAAGTCTAAGGGCCAAGCCAGTTAGATACGCCAGAGGCCAAAGCAACCAAATGGGTAGAGAACATGTATGGTATATGGAGGGAGTTGTTCAGGAGTCTGACTGCTGCTTATGAATGAAGATAGAAAGTAAGAGAGGACCTGGAGGCTGACCGAGCATGTAAAACCATAAACAGAGAAGGCTGGTCTTTGCATCCTGTCCACATCCACTGTGATAGGACTGTGGAAGCAGTCATTTTTTTTCTCTCTGAGCCTGCTTCCTCATCTGTAGCATGGGGGCACTAGAGTTTGCCTGAAAGTGTGAAGGGAAATGGTTACTCCTAGTGCTGATCACAGACATTTGCTTTTACTGCTCAGGCCAACAGACACAGTGACACACTGCCAGACATTTTCAGCAGGTTCTACAACTGTCCTGGACCTTGTGTAAAGACTGGTGTGCCGCTGGGCAGTGGTGGCACACACCTTTAATCCCAGCACTTGGGAGGTAGAGGCAGGTGGATTTCTGAGTTCGAGCCCAGCCTGGTCTACAGAGTAAGTTCCAGGACAGCCAGGAGGGCTATACAGAGAAACCCTGTCTCGAAAAAACAAAAAAACAAACAAAACAAAAGACTGGTGTGCCTATCTCAGATTTCATGGCCTTTGTCCAAGGCTAGGGATCGGTGGAAGTTCTCTCCTGTATAGGGCACAAGAAGAAAAGGACCTGGAGAGTAGGAGGAGTGAAGGAGGAGGAGCCTGGGTTTCACCCACTCCCATCTGGCCTGGGCACTGACTGTGGTGATGAAGCTGTTATTTGTTAGTTCTTTAAAGGTTAAGAGTCCTGGGGATGCCTGGGGCTATATGGAGGCTTTCAGGAAGGCAAGAGGACCCAGCAAATTCCAGACACTTTGTTTATGGTCCTTGAATCTAGAAGACTTTGATGTCAAAATTACTCTACTGTTCTGGAATAGACTTGAGCCATGGGAGTGTGCTGAACCAGGTTTGGGGCAAAGTGACAGAGAGAGGAGCAGGAAAACAGAGCGCCACAGCCCCTGCCCCTAGCACGTCATCCCTGCTGCTCCTTGACTCCAGTGCTATTTGAAATGAGACAGGAAATGAGCAACTGGGTAGTTGGGCCTGTCAATGCCTAAGCCCTGACAGATGCCTAGCAGGCGGTGACGGGCCTCAGCAGGGCTGGGCCCAGCACAAGCCACACTGCAGTAGGGCTCCTCATACTGGCCAGGTATCAGGGCCTCCTCCAGCAGGTTGAGTCGCAATTGACCCTGGTCATGGAGGGCTTGAAGGGTCTCCCGACTGCTAGGGGAACTCAGCAGCTGTAGGTGCTGGGACACCAGGCACATGACACCCACTAGGTAGCCACGGGCACGAGGGTGGGCAGGCAAGGCAGGCTGCAGGCCACAGGCCACCATTGTAGAAGCCAGAAGCAAATCCACACCATAGAGTTCCAGGATCCAGTCTCGAAGGTAGAACCCTCCCATGCGAGGATTGATCTCGATGAGCCGTGGCCCAGCCCCAGTCATCTTGAGCTCCACATTGAAAACCCCATCCAGCAGCCCACAGCCCAGGCAGCAGCGAAAAGCTGCCTGCACCATCTGGGCCTCCTGCTCTGGTGCTAGCCCAGTGGGCATGCAGGCTGCAGTCTCTGTGAAGCCAGGCAGCCTTGTGGGGCCATTATCAGAGACAAAAGCAGCCAGCAATCGTCCACCGAACACCACCAGGTCCACATCATGCTCTGTGCCCTCAACAAACTCCATCAGCAACATAGCATTGCCCCAGCCCAGCCCAATGCCTGGGTGGTCAGCCTCACCCTGCAAGTCATGGAGGATCCGGGAAAAGTGCTCATGGCACTGTGGCCCATCCTTTACCAGCTGCACGCCTACTGCTCCTGACCCAAATTCCAGCTTCATCACACCTGGTAGAGGTACCTGATAAATGGCCCTCTCCACATCAGCCTCGCTCTCCAATGGGCAGCAGGCCACGGCATGGAGGGAAGTTGAAGGCCAGGGTGGGCCCTGACATCGCAACAGATGTAGTTGGGTGCGGCTCTTCTGCTTTGCCAAACACATGGCAGCTGGGGGGCTGCAGGGCAGACCCAGCTCACGGCAGAGCAGAGCAGTAAGCACCAAGCAGTCATCCCAGAAGGAAAAACAGCCATCTAGCCTCAGGTTCCGTGTCCGCACCAGCTCAGCCAGCAGCCGTGCGTTCTCCTCGTCCCTCCGGTGCTCAGTCACATCAAAGTGGATAAAGGTCTGCACCAGCTGGGATGCGAAGTGGTTGGGGTCTGATTCCACCAAGTGCAACTGAAACGAACCGAGGGACACTCATGTGAGCAGGCTTGGGTCACGGAAGACACAGGATGGATTTCTACAGGGTAGACACCAGGTGCTCAATATATGTTTATTGATGATTTGAATAAACGTGGAGAGGTGAGACACCTACGTCAGCCTGGATAGGAGGAAAATCAGAAAAAACCTTCAGGAGGAAAGGGCGAGCTGAGTGAGAGGGACAGGGTGCACGAAGAGTCCACCAGACGGCTCATCAGAGCATGCTCACAAGTGGCTTCCCGAAGGGCTTGGAGACCAGCCCTCAGGGTCGGGGCTGCAGCAGACAGGTGGCTTGCTTATCATTCCTCCCACATGTCCTAACACTGCAGTGTGATGAGCAGGACTCCTGAGGGGCCCCATGTCCCCAAAGCTTGTGTTTGCCAGGTGAACAGAGACACAAGGCAGCTGCTACTCAAGGCAGAAGCAGCCCCTGATGAGGGAGGAGAAGTGGCTGTGTGTCAGGTAACTCAGGAGTCTGTCAGTCCTTCAGCTGGCACACACACTGTCAGGTAGGAATTGTGATGCCAAGGCTGTTGAGAATTCCCCAGGGACCGTGCATGGTGGAAACCAGGCAAGGAGGTCACTGTGGTGGACTAGAGCCAGCCTGAGAAAGACTCAGCGTCCTTATCTGTTTCAATAGGAGTGGTAATGTCTGTTGCCTGGCTAACTCCAGATCCTACAATATGAGTCCCTGCCTTCTTCCAACAATAAACTTAACTTGAAATCTATGAAGTGTTCATTTCACTCCTGGAGGATCCTATGTGCCAAGCTGTAGAACTTCAGCTTCAAAGATCTTTCCCCCAAGGCAGACTAAACTTCTTCACCCAGATGTTCAATACCTAGTAGCTACTAGGTTTGGTGGTACATATTTCCAACATCTGGGAGGCTGAAGTAGGAGGATTGTGTTATGAATGTCAAGTCTGGGCTACATAGTGAAAAATCTGTCTGGGGAAGAAGGTGTGGCGTGAGAGCTCAAGAGGGCCATCCCAGCACTAGGAGACAGAGGCAGAAGGAGCGCAGAAAGTTCAAGGCTAGCCTGATTTTTCTATTTCAGGTCAGGCTGAGCCACAGAGTAAGACCATGTCTGGCACAAATAAATAACCACTAAAATAAACAAAAAAATATAAAATAACACTCCTGAAATCCCAGAATCTGGAGGTGGAGGTAGGAGGATTAATTCAAAGCAAGCTTCAGCTATATAAGGAGTTTGAAGCCATCATGAGTTATATGAGAACATATCTCAAAGATCCCCAAACACTGAGGGCTAGAGAAATGGCTCAGGCATTAAGAGCACTTGCTGTATTTGCAGAGGACCAGAGTGTTCGCACCCACATCAGGTGACTCTGGATCTGATAATACCCTCTTCTGGTCTCTAGTGACACCTGCATGCACCTGTACATATACATACTTCAGAGCCAAACACATAAAATTTAAAAAATAAAATAAATTGTGGCTGGAGAGACAGCTCAGCAGTGACGAGCCCCAGCTGCTCTTCCATAGGACCAGGTTTGATTCTCAGCACCAACATAGCAACTCACAGCAGCCTGCAATTCTGGTTCTAGGGGGGATCGATGCCCTTTTCTGGCCTCTGTGGACACCAGGCTCGTACATGGTGCACAAACATAGTTGCAGGCAAAATACCCATATACATACAATTAAAAATAAATAAATAAAAATAATGGCATCCAGGTCTCTAGCTCAGGGATAGAGAGCTTGTCCCCATAGTATGTGCAAGGCCATAATTCGATCCCTAAAATAGCAAGAAAAAAAATCTGACCGTGGTGGTGTGGCTTCAATTCTAGACCAGGGTAGAAGAGGCAAGAAGATTTCTGGGAGTTTGAGGCTAGCCTGATTTACATTGCGAATTCCAGTCAATCAGGACTATATAGTGAGACTCTTTCTCAAAAATAAATAAAACAGAGAAGTCAGCTCCTCTATTGCCGTGAAACACCGCCAGTCTCCTGCCCATCATCCCAGCCTATTTATTCCACCTCGTCTTTCCTTTGTTTTTTCTGAGGGGCCTCTCTCACGGCAGCGAGGCCCGCCCCTCGCCAGGAAGGCCCGCCTCCGGAAAGCGACCACTCTCTTCTGAAGAACTAGTCCCGCCCATTCATAGCCCGCCCTCACCAATCAGAACAGTATTTGCCTTGCCCCGCCCACCTTCAGTCCGTAGTCCCGCGCCGCCTCCCACACGAACTTCTTGCTGACTCCGCCGGCGCCGATCACCAGCAGCTGCTTGCCGTCCATGAGGTGGCGCCCTGAGCGCCGCAGCATAGTCTCCACCAGCGGTGCTGCGGCTGCCTCCTCAGCTGAGTGTACCAGGCGTGGCGCAGCCCACATCCCCTCAAGCGCGCCGCATGCCTCCAGACACAGGCCACTGTTCAGCTTAAGAAGCACGGGAGTCAGCGTGCGTCCGACCACTGTGAGAACGAAGTCCACGCCTGGGCCGGGCGAGAATGCGCGGATTGAGCTTCCCTCAACCCGGTTCCCACACCGCCCAAGCCGCCCAGCCCGAGCTGCGCCGTCCATGCTCACCGAGGAAGTCGGTGTGCACTTGGCGTCCACCACGCTGCTCCACACTCAGTCCGGCCTCCAGGGCCAGTACTGCGGCCAGCGCGGCTTCAGCTGCTTCTTTGATGCCCTGTCCCAGAAGCGCCACCTGCGCCTCCTCTTCCAGGCCGCACTGGGCCAGCGCCACCCCCAGTGTCCTCGGCAGGGTATAGTGGTGCCGCACGGGTCGATCCCCACGGCCCACGCCACACACCACCTGACCACAGTGCAGTTCAGAAGGGGCTGGCCTGGGAGAAGTCCCGTCAAAGCTCACCTTTCTTTTTTTTTTTTTTTTTTTTTTCTTTTTGGTTTGTTTTTTCGAGACAGGGTTTCTCTGTGTAGCCCTGGCTGTTCTGGAACTCACTCTGTAGACCAGGCTAGCCTCGAACTCAGAAACCCGCCTGCCTCTGCCTCCCAGTCCCAAGTGCTGGGATTAAAGGCGTGCGCCACCACTGTCCAGCTCAAAGCTTACCTTTCTAAGTACCCCTTTGACGCCTGTGCATCTTCCCTACATCGAGAACCAGGCCCCACCTTCCCTGCACTTCAAGAACCCCTTTCTTCCATCCAGACCTAAACTTTACAAATCACTCTCAGCTTCACTGGCCATCTGGTGCCCAGATCCCTCAGGGTTATGCTGGCTTCCAGGCCCAGCTCGAAAATTCCACGCATGCTTGCTCTAACCTGCTCTAGCTACCCTGGTTTTTCCTAGCCTTAGCATGTCTCTTGGAAAACTCTCATCATCTCCCCTGGAGTTCTGCTGAGTATCCAGGAGGCCCCCCAAGCCTTCCTGGGTCCCTCAGCATGGCACCTTCCTATGGGACTGACCCTGAGTTAGTTTCTTCTGTAAGGAGAAGCATTCTGGAAAAGGAATCAGGCCCTCAGGACAAGGAAGAGGGGTTAAGCACAAGAGCTCGGGCTCCTGATATAGAAGGGTTAAGGAAGGTTGAAGAGGAAGAAAAAAGTGTCAACCCTAGGAGTCCCCTTGGAAGTAACCAGAACCTCCTACCCCAAATTATATCCTCTCTGCACCAGGAAGGCCCTCATCAGAGCAGTGGGGTTAGGCAGAACTGGGGTGGACAGAACTGTGTCCTAGACCTGAGCCATTCTCACCTTACTCAGTAGGGGCCTGTCACCCTGAATTCGACACACCACTGCACAGATCCGCACAGCCAGCTCAGGGCCAGGTGCAGGACTGCCTGGGGGAACATGAGAAGTCTAAGCCCAGAAGCGGTCTAGAGGTCAGTCTCTGCCCCCAATTTCTGGCTGGCTCAGGTGAGAACCTGGTAAGGGCAGCCGGACAGGTGGGCACATGGCCTCCACAAGGACACTCTCCTCCTCCTCCAGCTTCTCCAGCAATCCCAGCACTGTGCTCACCACTGTGGATGGCTCTGCCCGCAGGTGCAGAGGCAATACCTGCTGTCCCCGCCAGCGCCAGCCACTGAGCCTCACAGCCACCTACAGCAGAAAAGGGAGAGGACCTTCCTCACCACCACTACCTCATGAGCCTGAAAGGTAGGATGCTCATGCCACAGGTGCCAGTAAGTACACTGAGGTAGGAAGGCACGGGGCACTGTTATGGAGAAATGGGACAGTGGCAGAGCTAAGAGTTGGGGTTTATTTCCCAGCAGGACTTGGTAATCACAGCATGGGTTCCCTCCTGCAGGTGCCCACATAGACCTCAGTGCAGAAAGGGCCTCTTGTTACCTGTGAAGCATCACCCAAAGCCTCGGAGTGCACAAAGGCCTCTACTTCCTCTTTCACCAGTGCTTCCTGGCTTTCCTTCCCACTGAGCTCCACCAGCCGTAGTCCAGGGCTGCCATCCCCTCCCCGAAGCAGCCCTGGAGGCCTATAAGTGAAAGCCAGGGTAGCTGGCACGGCCACACCACTCTGCTGGGACAGCAACCACCTCATCAGCAGCCGGTCCTCCAGCAGCCGTGCCAGCTCCGATGAGGCTCCTGTGGGACAAGTGAGGTTCCGAGCCAGCTCTGCTGCCTCCTTGCCATGGCCGGACTCTGGCCCCAGGCCTGCCAGGAAGTAGGTAGCATGCCGAGGGGGGTCAAAATCATCCAGGAATGTCAGGCCCCCTGGATAGAAGCTCACAGCCTTGGAGACGGACAGGGCCGCCTCACCCTCTTGGCCTGGAGTTTCCACCTTCATCAGCCAGGCAGGGGACAGGCAAAGGAGCATGTTTCCTGTGGGCAAAGGGAGGAAGGTGGCTGGCCAGGGAATGCGGAGTAGTGCCGACACCCTCCACCCCCTGCCCCGGCTTCTGTGTCATGGGGGTCAGTGACTCCCGGAACCCACCCCTACTCAGAGCATGGCAGCTGGTCCTGTGGAATGCAGGCAGTTGCCAAGGTTGGTGGGTATTTTGGGATGTGGCTGGGCTAGGGCAGGGCTGCCCTTTCTGTAGGAGAGGCTGGGGAACTTGGGCACACACTCACCAGGGCTCTGGACCCCACCCTCCAGCAACAGAGATAGGAAGGTGCTGGGGGAACCCAGAATGCACAAGGTCACCTCTGCCCCAGGGCAGCCTGGGGGAAGAGAATGTTGTCATGTTCACCAGGGGTCCTCCTCTTGCTGCCCTTCTGCCCACTTTTCCCTACCTCCACTTTACCACCCTCACCCTTAGGCCTCCCAGGTCCTTCTTAGGGGTCAAATGAGAAGAAGACAGAGGGAGCTGAGTATGAAAGGGGAGATGCCCGACATCCCTGCCTTGAGACTGGCTCTGTTTTATCTGCATCTGATCTAGAAGGCACTGGAAGATGAATCTAACCTGAGTTTGGATTTTGCACATGACCTCAGAAAGGCCACTGTTTCTCTAAGCCTCAGTTTTCCAGTCTGTGATGGGAACAAGTCTGTGATTCTCATGTATTCTAGCTGAAGATCATTTGGTCCACACAAAATTATTCATGACCCACCTGATCTATGAAACAAGGAGGCATCTTGGGATCGCAACTGCTCAGCTGCATCCATAGCATCTCCTAAGACATCGCTCTAGAAGTTTCAGCTCCATAGAATATGCAAATGATAGCGTGGATTTCCAGGGAGCAGGATGGGTAGGGTGGGACATGGTGGGGAGCCCTGACCTGATGTCCTTGGAGACATGACCTGCCTGCCCTAGGCCCTCTGGTTTTGCCTTTAGATGGAACCAGAGCCTGAGGGAGGAGCCAGCCTGGACAGACAAGGGGAAGCAACTGAACTTAAGGTCCCTCCCTGTCTCTGGGAGACCCATTTTGCAGAGCCCTGAGGCACCTGTACGGGGTGCCTGGCTGCGATCCTGGGTCTCAGGAAGGCCAGCTTGCTGTAGACAGCTCTGAAGGAGACCGTAGTAGTACACAGTCCAGGCCCGAGCCTCAGCCTCTTCCGGGGAGCCCTTGCAATCGAGGCTAACATCCTGGCGCCAGGGCCCAGGGAAGCAGCCTGTGGGTGGCAGGCCAGCACCTCCTTTCCATGGTTCTTCCTTTCCATCCAGGTCCTTGGAGCCCAGGGGATAGTCGGACTCTGTACTCAGTGGATCCAGGCAGAGCTGAGCAGAGGGCAGAAACAGTACACCTTGGGCAGGATTGGCAAAGGAGTATCTTAAATCACTCAATGGTATGAGCCAGCCTCCCAGTCTTCCCACCTGGGTCAAGTTAAAAGGACCAGAAGAGGAAGGAGTTGAGGGGAGGGAAGGCTTACCAAGTGGGAACTGTGGCTAGGTACAGTACACTGATAAATGACACCAGTCTTGGGCCAGCGAATGGGAAGGGACATACTCTCCATTGAACTCCTGACCCCATCACACCTAGGGTCGGTCCTAGCTAGAATCATAGGAGCCTGGGGTTTATCACTGCAATCCCAGCTCCACACAGTGCTGACACACAGTAACTGGTCCACAGATGTTTCCGAACTGAAATACTTCAACCATTGTCTAGCCCTGTTCTCTCTGGGACTCCGACTCTTCTACCATCATGGAGTTTGCTGTTACTTATTAGGAGACTTTTATTTCCTCATCACCCCAATGTAACACCTCCTGGTGAGGGCTGGCATCCTTTTTATTATTGGTGTTTTGTTTTATGAGTTGAGGCTGGCCTCCAACGTCTGTGTAGTAGAGAATGACCTTGAACTGATCCACGTATCTCCTGAGTGCTGGGTCATCAGCATGTTCCACCACTGCAGGTTTACATGGTGCTGGGGAGAGAACTCAGCCCCGGGTAGACTGAGCCCGCACTTTACCAACTGTCTTGTAACCCCAGTCCCTCCTTTTGTTCCTTTTTCTTCTTCATTTTTCCTTTTCTTTTTTGAGACAGGTTTTTGCTTTTTAGATCAGGCTGACCTCAGACTCTAGACATTCCACCTCCCAAGCAATGAGATGACAGGTGTGCACCACTACATCTGATTTCAGAGGGAGCTGGGAATTGAACCCAGGGCCCACTACATGCTAGGCAAGCATTCTCTAAACAAATTAGTCTCTCTGCTTGGTTGGTTGATCAGTTTGCTATATGGCTGAGGGTGGCCTTGAACTGGCAGTCTTTATGCTTCAGACTCCTAAATGCCGGATTGAAAGCATGTGTCACCACACCTGGTTCAACATGTCTACAAGTGTATGGAGTTCTGGCACTATTTTCTTTGCAGGAAGTCTGCAGGAAGAGGACACCTCTGTCCCCTGTCTGAGGTGGGGAGCCTCAGGATCATAGAAATGAGGACATTACTCGAGTCAGTGCCTCGGCCTATACTAGTCTGGCAGCTGGGCCTGTCTTTCAGGAGATAGGCTGAGCCATCCACTTTGAACAGGTTGCTAGTTCTCTCTGGCTACCTGATGCCTGTCTTAGTCCCACCTCGTGGGTTCCATCTTGCCTAGAGGAAATCATCTGTTGGCTCAAAAACTGTAAGCTATGGTCCAGTTATTCAAGGTCTGGACTTCAGACCTTCACTTGCATCTTGGGACACCAGGGCTGAATTCTTTGTGTCCTTTCCTAGGAAAGTACTCTGATGCCATGGACTCACGGCTCATCTTTGTGTCCCAGTGCTGGGCAGGTAGGCGGTATTCCATAGGAATGAGGAACTGTTATCAGGCTGACAGCACCTACCTCCTGGGGGATAATGTGGCACAGGTGAGTGCCTGGTACACTGGGTAGGGGGTCAAGTGATGGAGCCGGTTATGGGGTGTAAGCTGACAGTCCTCAGGGCTAGGTTTCTGGGTGCCAGTCCTTGCCCTCCCTCTATCCAGGGACTTGGACCTTTGTGGGAAGGGACCACAAGAGACTCACCATCTTGGAGGTAGAGAGGCAGAGAGACTAGGGGACAGAGAGACAAAACAGGGATCAGAGCAACCTGGTCCCTGTCTGACCTTTCAGCCCTTAAGACTTCAAGGAGCCCATACATCCTGTGTCCTATCCCTGCCCCACCCCCACCCTCAAGGGAAAAGAGGAATTTTTTGCTCCGTGGACCCCAAGAGCCATGCATCTCTGAGCCCTCCAACCCCTGGTTACACCAGCTATGCTAGGGACTGGGGTGTTGGCTCAGCCCCTGCAGTGGTGGTGGTTGAAGGTGGGGTGACCAGGGTTCCCGTGAATGTGTAAGATTAGTGTTAAGTTCTACAAGCTCACAGGGTCCCCAACCCATGTCCCCACTCAGCCCCGCTCCCTGGCTCCCATGGGGTAGGGCAGGAACAGGGGTACCTGCTATTGGCAGCAACTGGACCAGGCTAGGCAGGTGGGCAGGTGAGCAAAGAACAAGGGCGTTCTGCAGTGGTGGAGGCACAACACACTATGGCAAGTGGCTTGTCCTTATATAGTGAGCCTGGCCATGCCCCAGGCGGGGCCGCTTAGACTCATGCCAGAGCCCCGCCTTCCCCTTTCCCCAGCGGCTGCCTCCTCCGCAACCCAGGCTTAGGACAAGGGACTTGTGATCCAGAGGGTGTTGGGATCTGATAAGCGACACAGAGGCAATCCACAGAACAGACACAACCCTGAGCCAGAGCCTAGGACTATCCAGACAAATCTACAGTGAGATTCACAGGGGAAAATAGAGGAAAAGCTATGGACTGGGAGGAGAGGCATCGTGGGGAGAGCGTGCCCAGCATGTTACTGGAGCCGCCTGGGGCACTGGCTCCACCCTCCCCTTAGATGGTGCAAAGCTCCCAGTGCTCCCAGCCAGGCAGCTGTCAGTCCTAGTCAGGAGCCCCTGGCTACAAGGCAGTCTCTCAGTGTCCTTCCAGAGCCAGTTAGATAGTATGAGGACAGCTGATTAAAATGCTGGCGTGAAGCCAGCAATATATACATACTCCTTGCAACGGCAAGGCCAATATCCAGGAGCAGGGCTTCCAGAAGCCCGCATACCTGATTTGTGTAAGTGCAATTACACCCACAATCTCCCTGAGAACCACACAATCATACCTGGAGGCTCATGCAGTCTGCCAGTGTGTATCACACTAGTAGGTTCCAATCCTGGCTCTGGGCTACAGGATCTGGCGGGCTAAGGTCTCAATACTGAAGCTCACTTTCCTTCTGCCCTCGGCCATAGCGCCTAGCCCCATATGTACCAAATGCTCTGACCCTCCCTTCCCCCTGCTTGCTCCCCAGGACCTCCACTGTTCTCAAGAGCATCTTAGGCAAGAAGAGTATTGAGGAGCCAGAAGCACTCCTTGAAAACAGAGGTAGCAGCTTTCATAGTTTCCCGGAAAGTGCATGCATAGAAGTCTAAGAGGACCACTTCTGTCTCTACCACTCAGAAGGGAAGGTGACTTATCTAGGGTTCCCTAGTTCTCCATGTCCCCCACCCCCACTGGACTTTCCAGAGTTTCTGTGGACTCCCCTGCCCCAGGTTTACATATGCCTCAGGTAAAAACCCTAACTGAGGTCCCTACCCTAACTGATTCCTACAATGAGGGGCACAGGCCAGGAACCCCACTTCTTGGCCACATGTGTATCCTAAGCAACAGAGGGGTCCTACTGTGAGGACAAGGTGGAGTACAGATGGCTTATGCAGCTTTTGAAGATTTGGCTTCTCATTTTCACTTTTTTTTGTTTGTTTGTTTTGTTTTTTGTTTTTTGTTTTTCGAGACAGAGTTTCTCTGTGTAGCCCTGGCTGTCCTGGAACTCACTCTGTAGACCAGGCTGGCCTCGAACTCAGAAATCTGTCTGCCTCTGCCTCCCAAGTGCTGGGATTAAAGTCATGTGCCATCACATCTGGCCTATAAATGTTTATTCTTGTAACAGGCACTGTATGAGAGCATGCAGTATCTCAGTTCTTAACACTGAAACATGAGAGATTTTGTTTCAAAACACAAGCAGACAAGGTGTTGTCTTGATAAAACAACCAGCTAGTCATGGTGGCATTCACCTGTAATCCTAGCACTCAGGAGGCTGAGGCAGTAAAATCACCATATTTGTGGCTAGGTTTTTCTACACAGCAAGTTTCAGCCCAGCTTAGGCTACCTATCAAGATCCTTTCTAGAAAAAGAGAAAAAAAAAAAAAAAGAGCCAAGTATAGTATAAACACATGTAATCCTACCACATGAAAGATGGAGGCAGGAACAGGAATCAGAAGCTCAAGGCCAGCCTTGGATTCATAGCAAGTTCAAGATTAGCCTGAGCTATTTGAGAACGTGTTTCAAAAAAAGAAAAAAGAAAAAGAAAAACAGAACAGGTGAAATGCGTGAAGAGATGGCTTAATAGTTAAGTTCTTCCACAGGACCCCAGGTTCGATTCTCAGCACCTACACAGTAGCTCTTTTTTTTTTTTTTTTGGCTTTTTAGAGACAGGGTTTCTCTGTGTAGCCCTGGCTGACCTGGAACTCACTCTGTAGACCAGGCTAGCCTCGAACTCTTGAACTCAGAAATCCACCTGCCTCTGCCTCCCAAGTGCTGGGATTAAAGGCGTGCGCCACCACCGCCCAGCTACACAGTAGCTCTTAACTGTCTGCAATTCCAGTTCCAGGATATCTGACATCCTCTTCTAACCTCCTTGAATGTCAGGCAAGCACAGGGCACACATATACAAAAAAGCAAAACACTTATAAACAAACAAATAAAAATGGCTGATAAGATGGTTCAGTTGCTAAACACATTTGCTGCCAGGCTGAGATCAAACCTGAGAACCTGAGTTCAACCCCTGGAAGCCATAGAGCCAACCCCTGCAGGTTGTCCTCTGACCTCTACACAGACGCTACACACACAGACAGACACATGCACCCAAACAACATAAAAACATCAGTCGGTGTCTCTTTGCATTTGACCTCCCTTACCCCAGACTTTGCCCATTATATATAGCCCAGTCCTTTGTAGCCATAGTCAGTTAAATCATTTATACTTTCTTTCACTCAGTTTTTATGATAAAGGCACTCTGGCTTTGTAGATTCTGGAGCCATTTTTCTAGGTGCTCTTCAGCTTTGCTGCTGGGTGGTGCCGGGACTGGTCCAGTCTTCTGGCCAGTATCATCGTGATGGTTCAATTTCATGAAAATCTCTGTCTCAAGAGTTGTGAAATGGGTGACCAATCCAAGTTGGGCAACTTCAGTTTGTGCTCAGGTCCCTGAGATGTGGGGCAGGCATGTGGCAGAGCTGACTCAATGTCTCTGTCAGGAAAGAGATAATGTCACCCAAGGCTGAGCTGGGCCAAGTTAGGATAGGTTGAGATAAGGTGACTCTGCCCAGATGTCACTATGATGACAGTGAGATGGGCAGGGAGACCAAGAGGAAATCTGGGATACGAGTGGTAATCTGCCCATTATCTGTAGGGTAAAACGGAGGGTCTAAAAGATCTTGAAAGTCTTTTGAATTCAAGAACTTGGCAGGGGGAGCACATCTTGGCTCTGAACCTGGGAGGCTGTGGGGAAACTTTTGTTGTGGAAGACACTAAAAGATAGAGATCAAGAGCTCCCTTTCCAGCTGGGGGTGGTGGGCTTATAATCCTAGCACTCAGGAGGCAGAGGCAGGTGGGTCTCTTGAGTTCAAGGCCAGCCTGACCTACAAAGCAAATTCCAGGGCTACACAGAGAAACTCTTGTCTTGAAAAGAAAAGGAAAAAAAAGTACTCTTTCCCCCATCCTAGGGTAGGGATTCATGTAGACTCCCACTCACCTGTGTGAGCTCTCCTGTCTCAACTCATATCTTTTGGGACAATACAGGTTGGCAGACACCACTGTCCCAGCTTCCGTGTCCACTGTTGAACGCCCTAGACGTGCTTCCTGACTCTAAGCCCCTTCCTAGGCAGCTTCTGAAGGAGCTGCTAGGCTCACAGGAAATAGTTGCTCAGTTGCTTATGGCATAAAGGCACCTGGTTGAGGAGTCACTTGCCACTGCTTCACACCATATCTCCCAACAGGATTGCATGGGTCCATGTTGCCTAGAGCAGGCTGTCTTTTCACAGCTAGTAGAGAAGTGTAGAAGGATTGGCACCACTTTGTGGATGAGGGCCCTTCAGAATGTGTGACTACAAGTGTTCACATTAAAGCCGGGCAAGGAGGCACATGCCTTTGATCCCAGCAGAACCAGAGACATTTGGATCTCTGTGAGTTTGAGGCTAGCCTCGTCCACACAGTGAGATCCTGTCTCAAAACAAAAACAAACAAACAAAAGCAGCCATTCACATAAACCAAGCACACTTGTAATCCCAGACTTGGAAGGTAGAGGCAGGTAAATCACTACCAGTTTGAGTCTAACCTGGTTCACAAACTCCAGGGCAGCCTGGGCTGTATATAAAGAAACTATCACAAAACAAAACAACTGTGCTTGCACAAGGAGGAACCTATTTCTCTCTCTGCCTTCTCAGAGTTACCATGGAGATGGCTAGCAACAGGACCTGCTCAAGAGCTGCCCAGAGAATGCTTCCCAGAGGAGGAATGACAGTGACTCTGCTGCAGCCAGGGTCCTGCTGGAAAGCACCTACTACCAGTGAGACACTGCTTCAGAAACCGGCTGAGTGTGTGGCTCAGCAACGCTTGTGCCATCCCCATGGTCTCCTAGAAGAGCTTATCTGTAGAGGGAAATCAGCGTGTGGGCGGCCTCCTCTACCTATTGCATGCCAGAGATCCCCACTTTTTTGTGTGTTTGTTTGAGACAGGATTTCTCTGTGTAGCCCTAGCTTTCCTGGAACTTGCAGAGATTTATCTGCCTCTGCCTCCCCAGTGCTGACATTAAGAGTGTGCACCATCACCACTAGCAAGATTCCCCACTTTTGCCTACCAGGGCTTGGGCACTGACTAGAGCCTCTGAGATTATATCATGGCAATCCTAGCTGCCTCTGCCTCCCATTGTCGCCTTGGGCTGCATGCTCAGCCTCCCAAGCAACTTTTCTCTAGTAAGGCTGTTGGGACCTGTGCAGACACTGGGCAGGGAATCTGAGGAACAGCCTTATGAACCCCAAATGAAAAGATGATTAAGCTGCAGGTACCCCAGTGAGTGAAGACGATGAAGGGAGGGAGGCCCCAGGGACCTCATGTGTCTTTTTCCTTCTCCTTCTGTAGTGGGGATGGAATTCAAGGCCTCACACAAGCTAGACAAGCGCTCCTCCACTAAGCTACATTCCCTATCCCTGTTTCCTTTCTTGTTTTGGGACACAGTATCCCTAAGTTACCCAGGCTGGCCTTGAACTTAGTAGGTCAGGCAAACTTGTGACTCTCCTGGCTCGGTCTCCAGTGTAGCTTGGAATACAGGCATGCAGCACCAGGCCTGGCTTTTCTAAGTATTTAACATAGGAGTACTCCAGGAGAGTAGGCCAAAGTGCATGTCCAGGGTTGTGGTGGTCAAGGTCGGGTGCTAGTGGTTCATGGGATGCCAAGAGTGGAGGTGAGAGTAAACCTTTGGTCTGCGGTGGTGGTAAGAATTTGGCCAAGTTTTTTCTCCTTCCAAGCCTCCATTTCCCTAGGGAAATTACAGGTAAGGGCCTGGTCTCCTATAACTCTTTCCTCCAAAACAAGCTCTTGACAAACTACTCCTGATCCTCCTACCTCCAGTTGCTGGGCGCTTGGATTGCAGATGTGTGTCCTCTGGCTGGGCTCACAGAATGCATTCCTATAGCCCCATGGCTAGAACGTTCCAGTTCCAGATTCTGAAAGGGGACCATGCCAAAGTCCCCGCACAGCTGATCGAACTCTCCTACCAAGGACCCACATCTATTATGGCTAAGTGTGTATGCTGGCATGTGGCTTCCCCTTTGCACACCGGCTCTTTCCCAACATTGTCTCTCAAGGAACTGATACCAGGGATGTGTCCTGAGCAGGGCTGTGTAATCATACCTGCAAGGATACACTGACCTCTGATCCAAATCTTACACAGGGAAAATCTTATTAAAAAAAAAAAAAAACCAAACAAACAAAACACACCCGTGAGACCTGAAGAATAGCAGGTCTTAGCCCATTGTCTCAGAACATCGTAACCTTTGCCCCTTCCTTCATTCGAGACAGGAGTGGGGTTGCTGGTTCCTCTCTGACTCAGCACTGTCCCTTTCTCCTCGAGGGGAGCATCTCCTTCTTCACCTTTCCTCTGCTCAGTCTCACTTCCTTGCCTCCACCACAGCCAGCGCACGGTTTGCATGGAAAGAGGGCCTCCACATTCTCCTTCTCAACTCCTGCCTTGCTCCCACCTTCAGCGCTGGGAAGCTACCCAGGGAGTCAGAGAGCCAGGGCAATTAGGACTCAATTCGGTGGAGACAAGCCAGCATCAGATCCAGACCTGTTGTCTTGACAATGGCTCATGTCCCAGGCACCTTAGGCACCCACAGGGGCAATTAGTGAATGTGGAAGAGGGTTTCTATGGTGGCGGTCCCAAGGGAGTACATCAGGGCTTAGGGAAGGAGGAGGGCCAGCAGGACCTTTCTCCTTTGTCCCGAGCACACTAGGCCTTTGTTCTTCTCTGGCTCCCTTTGACAGATGGGAGCAGGAATATGGTTAGGGAGGCCAACATGGTTTAGAGTCCCCCACCGAAGGGAGCCCTGAGCCATCTAGGGGAGGCAAAGGGAGGCTAGGGTGCCCCTCTGGGGCCCAGCTGTCACTGGGGAGCCTTCCTCTGGCAGGTAGAAAAGTCTGGCCTGTACCCTAGAGGCTGGGGCAAGCTGGCTTACTATGAGCTCTCTTTCCCTGTAAACACCTTACCCGGCAGCCAATGGGCAGCCTTAGTGTGTCCCATGTGGGACTAGGACAGAAAGGGTGGATGCAGGCAGGAGAGAGCAATAAGTCCAGGGTGGAGGGTAGAAGAGTATTTGATCCAGCTTTATCCAGTATCTTCTCAGTCAGGCTTTATTTGAGGATTCCCTTGCAAGAAGCCCATGGGGTACCATATCTCAGCCAGAAGTTTTATTCCCACAATCCTTCAGCACTGGTTTTGATGGTGGCAATGGTTGGCACCAAACAGCTCCCCACAAGCTCCACTCAGTATCCTTCCTTTATATTTGTGCCTGACACAGTCCTTAAAGTGGGGAGATACTCCACTTCCCGAGGTGGTCCTTGCTGGAAACAGCGGTCATACAGCCCAGCAGTAAAGTACAGTACACATTTCTAAGGCTGGCATCACTGTTCAGATGACTGAGATTTGGTGGCACTAAGTGCATGGTGCACTTAGAATCGGGTGTCCAGGAAAGAGGCAGAGCCTCGGTGGGACCTGGAGGGACCCTCAATAGGGGGTCCCCTGGCCCTTATCAGGAGCCCATGGAAAGTCTTGCCGCGGGTCTGTGGCTTCCGCCGTGGTGGGCTTGGCTCCTCTGGGGGCTGCACCACAATTCGAGGTATCTCAGGTTTGGTGTCTCCTCGCACCCCGGCCAGCTGCTGGGACTCAAAGATGGCTTGGGCCCCAGGAAGGCGGGCCTGTGGCAGAGGGGCTGGCCCAGGTGATGACTTTGGCAGCTGGGCCAGCTGGATCCTGATTTCCCGTTGCAGGTCTCGCTCAGACAGGGCTACGTTGTGCACCTGTGGGGAACAGTTGATGCTAACTTTGCCTGGACTGGTGTGTCAGGGAGCAGGAAGCTTTGAGGTCCCCATGGGGCAGGCAGTACACAACCCCAGGAAGTGGCTCAGGGCTGAGACACAGCTTTGCTGAGACCTAAAGGAAGACAGTTGAGGCCTGGGGCTCTCACTGTTTCTGCAGCTCAGAGCACAGGAACTGTGTGTTACGCTCACCCAGGCTTAGTCTTCCCAGCTATGCATGGGGCAAGGCCACTGAGGATTGCTAACAGAGATACCCACCTGGGACATGAAGACCTCTTCCTGCAGCTGGGTAGGGGGGATGGATCGTAGGGCTCCCAGTGTTTCCAGGAGCCCTGGGCACGCTCTGCGCTGTTCTACAGTGCCCAGTGCCAGGCGCATCAGTGTCAGCCCCACGCGGAACAGTACCTTAGCACCTGCAGGGAAGGGAGTAGCTCGCTCACAGGAAACCAGCCTGTGCCCCAACCCCACTCCTCCTCAGTTCTTCAGCTGAATCAGCCCTCAGCCACGCTCCTTCTACCTCACTGCAGCTCTCACTTTACCCAACTCAGGCATGGAAAAATGGCCAACAACTGCAATGTGTTTACTTTCTGAGCTGTGTGTAAACAGACCTCCATCTGCCTGCCTAGCTGAGAATGACCTGGACCTGCTGATCCTCTTGTCTCTTCCTCTAGCAGTGGCTTGGTGTTTTGTTTTGTTTTGAGACAGTCTTACTTTGTAGCTCTGGCTGGCTGGAACTATGTACCCAAGGTTAGCTTCCAACTCACAGTGGATAGTCTCTGCTTCCCAAATGCTCAGATTAAAGGTTTGTGCTACCATGCCCAATGTGTTTTGTTTTGTGTGTAGCTCAGGCTGCCTTGGAATTCCTTATGTAGCACACATTGGCCTTGAACTTGCAGCAATTCTCCTGCCTCTACCTCCTGAATACTGGAATTATAGGTGTGTGCCGCCATACCTAGCTATTTATTTAGTATGTACTAAGTGCCTGCTACAGCACATGTGTGAAGGTCACAGAACCTCTTGTAGGAGTCAATTCTTTTCTTCTACCATGTGAGACCTGGAGATCAAACTCAAGTCATCAGGCTTGGCGGCAAGCACCCTTCCCCACTGAGCCAGCTCACCAGCTCACACACCTGGCTGTTAGTTTTCTTGAGATAGTGGTTCACTCTGCAGGCCATGACAGCTTAGAACTATGTGACCCAGCTTGGCCTTGAACTCACAGCAATCCTGCTGACTCAGTCTCTGGAATTTTAAGTATAAATTTTGATGCTCAGAAGAAACACAACAATTTGAGGGCACGGGACACTGAAGGAGCCAAACCTGTCTCAGGATGCCAGACACTTGTAAGAAGGGCAGCCAGCCAGGAGCCAGGGGCTGCTGACAGTCTTATTCCACCTCTTCTCTGACCTCAGCATCCCGTCTCTCTGAGGAGTACTTAGGTTGGTGCCTATTAAGTACTTTTTGTCTTGAACCTGCCACCTTCTGATTCTAGAAAGGTTCTGTGCAGAACTTCTCTTCCTATAGCAAAACCATAGCACTCATGTACACACTCAGACACACAGACACATACACACACTAACCCTTGCCAGTCCTAGGACCTCACAATCCCTTTCTGGTATCATCTTAAATGATAAGAGCATGCCAGGGAGACCTAGTGACAACTGTGACTTATAAAGGAACAACTACTACCGACTACACCTTGCTTTTGGTGACCCTGGGGGGTATAAACCGACAATGTCATCATTGCTATTAAAGGGAGCCTGTGGAGTGCTTGTCCCCAGGTACAAGGGACAGGATCAGATGGACCACCATGATCAGCCCACTTCATAAGGTCTGAGGCTAGAGGGGAGGTGACACATGCTTTGTATACTTGTGACATGATTTTCTTGTTTGTTTGTTTTTTAAGTTTTGGAGACAGAGTCTCATGTAGCCCAAGTTGAGCTCAAATTCACTGTGTGGCCAAGAAGGATCGTGAACTTCTGATTCTCTTGCTACTATCTCCCAAGTGCTGTGATTACAGGCATGTGCCCCCATGACCAATTTTATGTAATACTGGAGATTGGACCCAGGGCTTATTGCGTACTTATTGCAAGCACTCTACCAACTGAGTTAGTCATCAGCCCGAACTTGAACCTAATTGTAGGAACAATCTCTAGACACATGGGCAGCATAAAGCAGAGCCCTAAAGATCCAGAGTCCAACGTGGCTCCACTCTGATGCCCCTTCCACTCTGAGCCCTCCAGCACCCCTTTTTCTACCTTTACCTTTCTATGTCCTTCCCAAGAGCCACCTGAGTTGGCTATGGCCTAGTCTTCCTACTTGTGGTGGTCTTCCTGGGCTCTAACCTCCACCTGCTTGCCTTCTAGTTTACCTCCTTCATAGAGAAGCCAGAACTGTCTTTAAAAACAGCAACCACCTCCTGCTGCTCTCCTGACATTCTGTCACATCCCTTGATATATTTTCTTCATGGCACTTATGACATTCTATAAATATCTTCTTAATTTAGGTACTGTCACCTCCTAGCCCCACCCCCACCCAAGAAAGTTTCATAAGCTAGGTGTCAGAGGCAGCTTCAGGCTCCTTAGGAAGAGCCATGGGTACAAGGCCCTGAGAAGGAGAACCTATGGCTGTGGACCATGCCTAAACCTTGCATGCCCTGAGCCCTTCACATTCCACAACATGTGCTTTGACCAACCTAGTTCCTACACACAGAACCCAACTCCATCAGAGACTTTCCCATCCTTGCTGTCGGCCTCCCACAGTGGTGTTTGTGACAAAGTAGAGCCCTCATTCATCACTCTGGGATTGTGTCCATGAGATGGTCTGTTTTCTCCACAGACACACTCAAGTCCATGTGACAGAAGGCTCCAAAAGAGTTGAGAGTGGGAACAACAAGCACTGTAAATTCAGAATGTGAGATAGTCCCCAACCCCACTCACCTTCACTAAGGAAGGCATCCCAGATACGCAGCACCGTGGGGAAGGGCAGTGATCGAGTGAAGAGACACAGGAACCACTCAGGTAGGTAGAGCAGGGGGCCGACGCCTACCTGCTGCAAGTGCTTGTACACACGTGGGAGCAGCCGCCGCAGAAGGGCCATGAACACTTCAGCATCCAGCTGTACAGCTTCCTACAGCCAGACTCCTTATCAGTCTGGCTAGCCAGTGCTGCAAACCTCCACTCCCAAACCCCAAGCTTCAGATCCCTCACTCTGAGTCCCTCACTTTCCATCTTCCACCTCCCTACCCTGCCTCTCACCATGTGGGGACCATAGTAGCCAGGAAGGTAGACCTCGCAGATCTGCACCAAGCACCAGAAGGCTTCCTGAGGGTAGGGGACAGGCCTGTGAGTACTCATTAAGAAACTGTCCACAGAGGGGGAGGAGGGATGGGGAACAGGCACAGGGGCCTGGATTTATGCCAGTTGTACTCTGCTCAGAGCCTGTCCTGTCCTGGGGGTGAGGAGTTGGAAATCACAGGGCCTAGGGTTCTGTATTTGAGGGCCATAAGGCTGGAGCAAAAGTTTGGAGACTCTCAGAGTTTATATCCCAGAATCCTAAGGTCATTTGGGTTCCTCCCACACCCACCCAGGGTCAAGGCCCTAGTGCTGCAGATTCTCAGTGCCACAAATTACAAGATAGGGAGAGCAATGTGAGGGGATGCTCCTGGCAAGCCTGGGGATGACACAGAATTCAGGGTCAATATTCAGAGTGTCAAAGAGAAAATTTTCCAGACTCCTAGATCACTGGAGTAAAGTCAGGATCAAAGATCACAAGTTCAGAAGTCGAGGATAATAGACGTAAAGGTTACTGAGATTGGTGGACATGCGGCTTTGGTCATAAGAAGAGACTGAAGTAAAGGAACACAGATTCCTGAGGTCTAGTACCTGGGGTTGGGGTTGGAGGGGTTTCAGATCACTAGGGATTGAGGGTCTCAAAGCAGGGTCAAGGTCACTCACCTCTGGGGGCAGATGCATGAGCAGTACAGCAGCCACAGGTCCCTGAGCCTGGCAATATCCCTGCTCTGGCCGGTACAGGGTGTAGGCCTTGAGAACCTGCAGCAGCCCCTGCTGCCTGTGCCAGAAGATCTTATTAAGGCTAGCCTCCCAGGCATCCCCTTCCTGCCTTCTGTGGCCTCTGTCCAGCCCATAGTCTCCCTCATCCAAGGATATAAAAGTAGAACTAAAGAATCTAGCATGGGGACTTGGTGTCACTGGGTATCCCTGGCCTCGTACCCGTGTCCCTGGGGTGATACAAACATCTCGTGCAGAGGAAACTGACGGTGCAAGTCCCTGCCAATGGTCTCCATCCACTGCGGGTCTCCTGGGGCCACTGCCAGCTCCTGGATGTAGGAAGGTAGATGTGAAGGTTCAGATGCCAGGGAGCTCTGAGAAGGGGTAGTAGTAAAGATTCTGCCAACTTTCTCACCTGATAGGTGCCAGGGTTGTTCTTCTGACAAATCTGGGCCCCACACAATAGGGGCCAACACCGGGCACGCAGGGCTGAGGGGATGCCCTTTCGGCATTGTATCTTTACCTGTGGGTGAGGTCAATGTGTGTTAGGTTAACTTCTCTTGCTCTCTTGCAGGTCCCAAGCACACAAGCACAGCTTTTCTTTCTCTCTTTCCTTCCTTCCTTCCTTCTTTTTCTTTTTTTTCTTTTCTTTTTTTTTCTTTTTTTTTTTTTTTTT